GCCTTGGAAACCCAATGGAGGTTGCTGTGAGTTGGGATTGACTCGATGACAGTGAGTTTGTTTGGTTTATACTTAGAATGCATAGAAATAGTCTTATAAGACTGTTTTGTGTATACTGAAGACTGTAATACTTGGTTGAATTCATAACTTTTTGTTTATGTTGTTGTTATTTGCCATTGACTTGATTGACTCATGGTGATCCATGTGTCAGAGTAGAACTATGCTCCATAGTGCTTTCAAGGCTGTGATTTGGAAGCAAGTTGTCAAGCCTTTCTTCCTAGGACAGAGGGAACGTTGCCTATTGGTGGGTTTGAGCCACTAATATTTTGGCTAGTAGTCATGCGCTTAACCATATATGCTACCCAAGGACTCCTATCAGAATCATAATAAACGCAAACCAAATTCAGTGCCATGGAGTTGAGTCCAACTCATAGGGACCCTATAGGACAGAATAGAACTGCTCCCACAGGGTTTTCAAGGCTATGAATCTTTATGTAAACACACTGCCTTGTCTTTTTCCCATAGAGCAGCTGGTGGGTTTGAACTGCTGACCTTTTGGTTAGCAACCAAATTCTTTTACCACTGCACCACCAGAGCTCCTTCTTAATAGCAATAGCTAATACTTATTGAGCATTTTTGGTTGTCTGAGTTTGTGGCTGCTTCTCCAAGGAATAAGCACGTAGATTTGACACAGGAAGTAGGGACATTGCTAAATAGATTGCCAGGTCTTTCTTCCAAGGTACCTGTGGGTAGAACTTCCAGTCTTTCGATTACCAGAGCTGAGAGGTGTTTGTATTACCCAGGGACTCCTTTACATTACTTTAGAAAGTAACATAAACTCCAGAACTCATCTTGAAACACTGGCTGAACCAAGAATTTGAGTGATGGTTCAGGCTACATCATCTTAATAAACCATCACCTTCTCTCTGTCCAAAGAAGCAAAGGACTGTGGTGTGGGATGAAAATTAATGCCAACCAGGATACCCGCAGCAACTAACCATGACCTGAAGGTTAGCAGCTGAGTGCTTAACTACTGCACTATAACAGCTTTAAGTTTGTTCTCTTTTCACCTTTTGGAAGCACTGTATAGATACTCATTCAATTTCCTTTCAAAATCTAGCACTCATCTCTGGATGTGTTAAATCAATCAGGAAGAACCAGAGACAGAGCACGGAACAGAACCCACACTGAAGGCAGGACTGCACCCCTTGGCACCCTAACAAGAAGGTGTCAGAGGATCATGTGCTATAATGCTGGGACCACCCACTTATATACCACTGTGAGAAGTGACAAAAGTATCATCTCAAATCACAAACCTCACACCATGATTAATACTTGTTTCCTCTGAGGGCAGTGGCAATTCAGTAGTAGAATTCTCATCTTCTATGTGAGAAACCTAGGTTTAATTGCTAGCCAATGTACCCCATGCATAGCCACTATCCATCTGTTAGTGGAGGCTTGCATGTAGCTATAATGTTGAGCAGGTTTCAATGTGGCTTCTAGTCTAAGACTAGGAAGAAATGCCTGGTGATCTACCAATGAAATCAGCCAATGAAAACCCTATGGATCACATTGGTCCTATCTGTCTACAACCAATCATGAGGATGGCATAGGACCAGGCAGCATTTCTGTTGTGCATGTGGTCATTATGGGTTAGAGGTCTACTCCATGGCAGTTAACATTTCCTCTTTATTCTTATTAGCATTTTTGGTTAATTTTCACTAAGCAAATTAACTTATGTGTCTCTAACAAATTTTTAAATACAGAAATATCAGTATTTCCCTAGCCTCTTACTTTCTGGCTAGATGTGTTCATTGAAATCAGCATCATCCAAAAGAAAGATCATCTCCCAAAATGGCCCCAGTATGAAGAATGCAGCTGAAAGGAATGTCAGGTGCCTTGCTCAGCTGGAAATTTTGGGTATATTTAAGGATTTCTCTGATGCAAAATTGTGTGCTTTCTTTACTAACTACAACTACTTTTGTAATTTTAACACTTTTTGGTATAAAGGTCCCAGTCGCCTACCATGTGCTGAGGACCTGCTGAATTTGGGGGTACAAAGAATAAGAAATGTTCTCAAGCGTAGGGAAAGCTCACCACATTGTCCTCTCCCACATACAGTCACAGTCCCAGGGCAATAGGATCAACACCATATAAGGACTAAAAAAACCAAACCAAACCCACTACCATTGAGTTGGTTCCAACTCATAGCAAACCCATTGGGTTTCTGAGGCAGTAAATCTCTACAGAAGTAGATTGCCCCAGTCTCCCTTCCATGGAGTGGCTGGTGGGTTTGAACCACCAACCTTCTGATTAGCAGTCAAATGCCTTAGGCACTACACCACCAGAGCTCCTTATTATATAAGGAACCAGCTCTGAAATCATTAACTAACACAGACTTCTGGAGACAGCTTTAGGGGGTGGGATGCTGAGCTTGGTTTGGCTGGATCTGAGGGAGAAAAGTCTAGAAGACAGTTGGTGCTCTGCATCTGAAGGCAAGAGAGATGAGAGCCGAAGGAGAGGACCTTTCAGGGGTCATCCTTGGGGCATCTCTAGGAGCAGAAGGGACCAACCAGAAGATGATCCTGTCCAGTCCCAACTCCATGTTGTCCTCTGACACCCCTCCCCCCACCTGTGCCACACATTTACCATCTCAACACCATTTCTGTACAAGGAAATGCAGGATGGTGAATGAACCACTAACCATGGAGAACATCAGAGATTCCATAAATACTTGGGAAAAAAATCATATAATTTATTTGTAGGATATTTCACAATTCAATTTTACAGTTTAAAAAAGATACAAAATAGAAGACAAACAGCAGGCCACATAAATAAAAGGAAGCACTGGAGAAGACACACTTCCCTCATGACAACGTGTTTTCACATCTGGGACAGGGAGCAGGTACCCTGCAGGGCAGTGTGTCTGCAATGCCAGGGGAGGACATCACCACCAGAGGCTCGAAGCTCCTGTGCACACAGTTGTGACATCCATTTCAAGGTGAAGTCCTAGCAGTAGAATCTTCCATTTCTTTCTTGGAAACCAGTGTCCTTGGAAAGGAAGTGGGACCATGGGATAGTAATCCTCATGTAAGAGCATTGAAGTTTCACACTTGGCAATGAACAAGGGACTCTTCCCTGCAGTGGAAATGAAGGCATTGGCGAAGATTCCAGGGAGTCCAGAATACATCCCTCATCTTTGTCACAAATGCATTCTCTTCGGCACATTCATTTACTAATATTAAATTAGGAGTCAGACATTTGGAAGAAGTTGCTAAAATACCCCCTGCTTCTGCTTTGCAAGGACAAGAACAGTTTTAAGAACTGAGTATAGATGAAGTACTTAAGGGCATCGAAAGGCAAAGATTCCATCTGAGTACTGAGGTAGTCACATGTAGAAACACTGTCTGCAAACAGTGCATCTTGAATAGGGCATCCCTGATTCCCCAGGTGGCCTCCAATCTCCTTGTGGTTAGCAGGCATGAGGAGGGTCAGCATGGTACCCAATGGCCCCCAATTCTGAGGGCCCAAGGGGCTTGTACCATCTGCAAAGAGGCTGGGAGTAAAGCTGCCCTCCACGCATGGAGCCCCGTACACAACACACAGGGACCTTGGCCAGCAGCTGGTGGGGAACATGTGAGTGTCTGAGGTGAAAGGCTTTTGCCATTACTTTCCAGATCCAAGGGCTCTATCTATACTCTCACCCCATAAGAAAAAATGGGTATTGATGCCTATACACATGATCATCACACCATCACCCATGAAGAGGTGGTCTCTTATCTCCAGCCACCATCTGGGGCTGCCAAGAGGGCACTAAAAATGACCAGCAAGGTTGGGGGGGTTTCCCCTGGGGCCTTTCTGGGCCTGCAGGTCCCCCAGCTCTCTCTAGGAGGCACATTTCCTTTTCCGTCTCAAGTCATCCAGCAGCTGAGAGGTCCTCATCTCCCAGTTCATCCCAAAGTAGGCTCTGCAGTGGGCTCAGTAGGGGGACCGCAGCAGGGCTACCTCCAGGTCTCTGTCACTCCACTCTGCAGGCCCTGATGTGTCTGATCTCAGGTGCTCACATCCAGTCAGGCCAGCCACCCCTCTGGGCAGGTGTCAGGGCCCCCACCACCATGTGGAGAGAGCAGGCCCAGAGAGGAGACACTGCAGAGAGCACCCAGTCACCCAAGTTCACTGTTTAATAAAAATGAAAGGACCTTCAAATCACTTCTAACAACACCTAAAGCCCAGGGAATTAAAAGCAGCCCTTCATCTTTCTTGTGCAGTGGATTCATGGATGTATGGATTAGCTGTTGGCCTGTTGAAAACAGAAATAGAAACTGATATTATTTTTTAAAAACACAAAAAGGTAGAACTTTTTTTTTTCCTACATTGATATGAGGCATTTATGAACTAAATAAATCTGTGAAGCAGGGGTCACAGAGAAGCCCTAGGGTCCGGCCCCACTTTATAACCTTTCCTTGTGCCAAAGTCTGAGTACCAGAGACCTCCACCTACTTCCCCATTCTGAACCTTGGGACGCATGTCATCCATAGCCCAGAAAAGGATGCATGGTGTGGACCCAGTGGCTGCTTTGCTTCACTGTCTGCTTGGCTAATCACCCAAAGTTTGAATCAATGATTATCACCCAAAGTTTGAGTCAATGATGTTTTGGGGGTAATTGGGTCAGCTGAACCAGAACCAAGTGTGGTAGGAGAGCTTCAAGGAGACCCAGGTATAGTTCTGTTGGCTCTAGACCCTGGAGAGCTAAGCCCTGACTTCTTCACCAAGCACTATATGCCAACACACCAATGATGCTAGCTTACAGTGATAAGGGATACGGGTGGAGGGGGGAAGCCATGTTAACTGTAGACACGTGGTCACAAAAGTTGAAGAGAGCTTCCTGCCAGTGGTAATCAGCAGTCATTGTCTTGGCAGCATGATCACCCTCATACTCATCTGAGCTGTGGCACAAGAAGTCAGTGAGAGCCCAGTGAGGAGAGCAGGGGGGAAATTACCCTCATTTGTCGGTAAATCCAGTCTGTAAATAGTGTCACGTTTCCGTATACTCCTGGCCTATTTGGCTTGGCACACCCAGATCCCCAGCTCGTGTCCCCAATCAACCACCAGATGCTGCTCTTCAAAGTGACCAGAGGACCTCCGCTGTCACCCTGGAGAGACATGTGACAGAGACAGAGAATTAAGTCACAATTGCCACACACTATTGACCATGAAGAAATGTGAGTGTGTGGTGCTTCAGGGTGTGTTCTGAGGGCACTGATGTGTGTATGTGTTAAAGTGAGTTCTGAGGGTACTGAGAGTGTGTGTGTATTGTCAATATGGGTTCTTAGGGTACAGGGGGTGGTGTGTGTCTCTGTGTTTGTGTGTCAGTGTGGGTTCAGAGGGTAATGAGGAGTGTGTGTGTGTTAATGTGAGCTCTAAGGCCATTGAGAGGTGTGAGCAGTGTGTGTGAGGGTGGGTTTTGAAGGGTGTGCAACAGTGTGTGTCTCAGTATGAATCTGCAGGTTTCATATTTCTACCAATAAGAGGTAATAGAAATATTATCAGAAAATATGTGGGAAAAATTGAGAACTTACAGGTGATTATACCAGTAATTAATTTCAGTCTGTATCAGCTAATAGGTACTAAAGAAATTGTTGTTCATATTTTTAACTAGTCAAAATATTTATTTCTGTCCAATTGACACTTTTGCCAAATAAAAGGAAGCAGTGGCCTGTGTTTCTTTGTTGATAGTGCTTGCTCCTATCACCCAAGCACCTGAGCCAGGTCCACAACCAATTGAGGTCCCTGGTCCCAGAAAATTTTGCCTCATGGGGTCTCTACTGTCTCTTGCCAGCTCAGTGGGAAGTCTGGCAAAGCCAGAAGTTTGAATAGGATTTCAAGTTTGAATAGGATTATGCTCAGCTGCTAATCGAGAGATTGGCAGTTCAAGTCTATCTCCCTAGATGTGCCTCTGAAGAAAAGCCTAGTGATCTACTTTGGAAAATCAGCCATTTAAAACACGATGAGCACAATTCTACGCTGTACACATGGGGTCGGTGGTAGTCAGAATTGACGCCATGGCAACTATTTGACTGGTAAGGCTGAATAAAGATCCACGATTACCTGGCAGGAGTCAACGTTTCCTTCCAGATACCCTGCACAGATCATAGCAGGTGTGATGAGATTGTTATAGATGTATCTATTATTACATATCCAGGGCTCAATGAGGTGCACCTCTGCTGCGTTCAGCAGTTCGGAAGTTTTCCCTGAAGACAGAAGACACTCGGTGACCTAAATGCTTTCACAGGAAAAGCACACTTCCCTCCTGGAAACCACCACCACAGACACTGTCTATGCCCTCATGTCCCCTTCCACCTCCCTCCCACCTCCCTCCCCAGCCCATCTTGTGGAGTTTGGATTATCCTTACAACGGGGGCATCTGTGACTAATGTGCAAATGGTTACAGCCCAGCTGTTAAGAAAGGTTTGAGTCTACCCAGAGGCACCTCAGACAAAAGGCCTGGCAATCTACTGCTGAAAGATCATAGCCATTGAAAACCCCATGAAGAACAGTTCTGTCAGACACATGGAGTCAACGTGAGTCAGAGGTGACCCAACAGTAACTGGTTTCTTTTTCATGAGCTCACATCCAAGAAGAAAACTTCCTGCCATTCATCTCCTAGAATCATGCTATTTCTTCTACCCACAGGCTTGGTCCTGTGGATGGATTTTCCTCATTTATCTTCCTCTCTGCTGCATCATCACCAGGGGCACACACAAGGGTATTTCCCTCTTGGGTACCTGGGTGGCACAAATCGTTGGCACTTGACTACTGACCAAAAGGTTGGTGTTGTCTGAACCACCCAGCAGCACTGCGGGAGAAAGGGCTGGCAATGTGCATTCCTAAGACTGCAACCAAGAAAACTCTACAGAGACGTTCTGCTCTGTCACAGATGGCGGATCACCATCAGTCGAAATCGACTCAATGGCAATGAGCTTGGTTTCTGGGATTGGTTTCTTTTTCCCTTTTAAACAAATCATGCTTTCTGATTCCACTTGATCTTCCACCCACCAGCCCATTTCTCTGCTCCTTTGGAACCGCTCAATTGTCAACACCTGCTGCCTCTACTTCTTTACCTCCTCTGTTGTTACCCCCACTTGATGTCTACTAGATGCCTCAAACTTCACATGCTAAGACAAAACTCTCTATTCCTACACCCCAAACTCTGACCACTCTGTCTTCCCCATCTCAGGGAATATCTCCTCCCCACACCCTGGCACTAAGAAGAAACACTAGAAGCCATCCTTCCTTGACTTCTCATCTCCTTCTCCATCACATTCAGTCCATCAGTAAATTGGGGCTCCACCCCAAATGTGTGTCACCTCTGTACCTCTACACCCACCCCCTTGGTTGGAGCTGCCATCTAGTCTCAGGGAACCACAGTAATGGCCTCCTCACTGCTATCCTGCTTCTACTCCTGCTCCTTCACCACTCCTTATACAACCACGCCAGGTCCTTTAGCAACATAGGTCAGGTCAGGTCACTCCCAGCTGTGGTTGGATAGTGTGCCCTCAAAATATGTGTTGAAATCCTAAACCCTATGCCAATGGATATAACCCATTTGGAGAGAAAGCTGTCTTTGTCATGTTAATGAGGCCATATCAGTGTAAGGTAAGTCTTAAGCTCATCCCTTTCGAGATATACAAAAAGCAGAGGAAGCACAGAAGCAAGGAAGCACAGATGGGGAAGATAGATGTCCCGTGGAGATCTACAAGGAACCAAGGAACACAGAGAAGAACACCAGGCAAGCAGAGACAAGGACCTCCCAGAAAATGGAGACACACAGCTCCAGAGGTAAAGAGAGCCTTCTTCTAGAATCGGTGCCCTAAATTTGGATTTCTAGCCTCCTGAACTGTAAGAATAAATTTCTGTTTGTTACAGGCCACCCCTCTATGGTAGTTGTTACAGCAACACTAGGTAGCAAACATTCCGTGACATCTTCCTATCGGCAGAATATGTCCATACCATACTACCATATATGATCTAGCCTAAGCCTACCTCCTCGTCCTCTGTCCCCATGCTCCAGCCACACTGGCTTCTGTTGCTTAAATGTCACCTCTGCTGACAAGACTTCCCTAAACACCCCTTCAAGTTAGCAGGCCCTCACTATCACGGCCCTCCACTACATGAAGGCCCATTGGCATCCCTGTTCATCTGACCACTCCCTCCTCTGCATACATCCACAAGAGGTGTGAACTTCACCAGGGCAGATTTTATTCTTGTATTTTCTTCATCACTGCAGTGCTGCACCTATAGCAGCACCCGGCCCACACCAGGTACTCCTCAAACATTACTTGTTTTTCCCTTTCATCTTAGCTGCTGTGGAGGCTTGTGCTCAACCATAAGGCTGAACTGCAGGAACTTTCTTTTGATAAGGTACCTGGATACCCACCACTATCTCCCTGACAGCCCTCAAATCACCCAGCCTTTGTACTCTTTACTTTGTTTTAAAGGATTTCTTGTACATGTGCCCTACATATTTTTTAAACAACACATAAAATAATTCTTTGTACCACGAAGCATTTTCAATGCTCCCTAAAAATCAAACAGCCAGAATTCCTTCATCTGAGAAATATTGTCTAGAACAGAGGCAACTTGTTACTGTGGGAACCAGGCAAGCCTTCCACTTGCTGTGGTGGTCTGGGCAGAAGGACATGGCATTGATGTTCTGTGGCTAACTGTCCATAGGTCATGGAGTCCATTCTCACCAAGAGCACCACTAAGGGCAGAATGGAGACTTCCTGAGCAGCCCTATATTAACAATGGGATGTGGACATAGGGAAGAGGGGGAGGATTTTACACATCTTACATTTATATGACCTTTACATATCAAAAGGGTCCCCATGCGGTACAAATGGTTAATGCACACATCAACCAAAAGGTTGGATGTTCACGTCCACTCAGAGGCACCTCAGAAGAAAGGCTTGGGGATCTACTTCAAAAAAAAGCAGGCGCTGAAAACCCTACTGAGCACACTTCTGCTCTGAAACACACAGCAGCACCATGAGGCACAACTAAGTTGATGGCAACTGGTGCTTTTATATTTCCAAAACCAGTTTTCACACACTGTCCTGTTTGATCTCACCAGGAACACCATGTGTTCTGTAGGGCAGGTTCGATTTTTCCCATTTAGCAGGTGAGAAAACTGAGGCACAAAGACAAGTGTTTTGCCCCAAATCACCCAGCCACTCAGTGGAACCAGGGTTAAAGGCAGACCTCCCACTTCCAAACCCAGTGCTCTGTTCTGCATGAGCAGGGTCCTGAGTGCCAGGAGCCTCACCTTTCTCGTGGGTGGCTCCCCACCCAGAAATCCAGCAGGTCTGTGTTGGATCCAGCATCATGCCCGGGTTAGGCAAACACACAGGCCTTATTCTGTCTGTTTGAAAAAAAAGACAATACTATGAGTTTGTCTGGTTTAACAGAAGCCTAAGGGGATGATTTCCACCTGGCCCTTTGCCAAATAAATGTTGCTGGGCCCGGAACCACTGCCATCCTACCCAGGGAAATTTCTGGATGCCAGCATGACCCGACACGCCTACTCTCTGTTCCTACTAGGCACTTCCTTCTAATGGGCACAACTCCTCTTGGAGTTAGGTTAGTTATAAGTGGAATGATCTGCTAATTCTGCTTCTAAAAATACTCAATGTTTTCAGGTAGCCGAGAGTAGAAAACGCACACATGTGGCAATAACTAAAAAGCTGATGGGCACAGAAGGCGCTTAATAAACACATACTGATAGACCCCACCAGCCACTCCTTAGAAGGAAGGTTGGGCAATCTACTTCAGTAGTAATATTGCCTTGGCAACAGAAGGAGGGGTTGCTATGAGTCAGGTCTGACTCAACGGCACATAAAAACAACAACTATAAACTCTAAAAGGAGCTCTGGTGGTGTAGTGGTTAAGGCATTTGACTGCTAACCAGGTTGGTGGTTCAAACCTACCAGGTGCTCTGCAAAAGAAAGATGGGACAGTCTGCTTCTATAAAGATTTACAGCCTTGGAAACCCAGAGGGGGTCTCTATGAGGTGGAATCAATTCAATGTCAGTGAGTTTGTTTTTTTTGTTGGAATAGACTCTAAGGAGCCCTGCTGGTACAATGGTTAAGTGCTCAGCTGCTGGTGGTTCGAACCCACACTGTAGCTCCATGGGAGAAAGACCTGTAATCTGCTCCTGTAAAGATTACAGCCAGCCAAGAACAACAAACTCTGTGGAGTCACATGGAGGTCCTTATAAGTCTGAATCCACTTGACGGCAACTGGTTTGTTTGTTTTTAAAATAGACTCTAGAGGGCAGTGGTCGTTCAGTGATAGAATTCACACCTTCCATGCAGGCAACTCAGGAGCTCTGATGGCATAGTGCCTAAGGCATTTGACTGTTAACCAGAAGACTGGCAGTTCAAACCCACCAGCTACTCCTCAGAGGGAAGGTTGGGCAATCTACTTCCATAGAGATACTGCCTCAGAAACCCATGGAGGGGTTGCTATGGGTCAGATCTGACTCAGAGGCAGTGAGTTTGGTTTGTTTTTTTTGGATTCTATGCAGGCAACCAGGGTTCCATTCTTGCTAATGCACCTCATATGCAGCCACCACCCATCTACAGTGGAGGCTTGTGTATTGATTGCTGTGCTGGCTGAGCAGGTTTCAGTGGTGCTTCTACACTAAAACAGACAAGGAGCAAAGGCCTGGCAATCTACTTCCCAAAATCAGCCACTGAAAACCCAAACTAACTCAACTGGTTACGGGATGATGCAGGACCAGGCAGGGTCTTGTTTTGTTGTGCATGGGGTTACCGTGAGTTGGGGACCAAACCCAAGGCAGCTAGCAACAATATATTCTAATGTATAAGCTTATCAATCAAGGTATTACCTAGGATTTCTTTCTTTTTTTTTTTTTTAATTACCTAAGATTTTCTATTGCATATAAGGTCTCTATGAGTCAGAGCGAACTCAATAGCACTAACAACAACACATTTTTCCCTTTTAACAAGGAGACTCAAATTCTAGAAAGCCATCAGAATCCATAGGAAATGAAGAAACTCCTTCCTTGGACAGCAGATCATAACTTACGGCTTGCTTTTTCAATACGTAAAACTTCCCAACTTGAATGCAAGCAACTCATGGGGAGGGACTAGGTTTTGCTTCTTTTGTCCCCACATGGGGCTAGAACATTCTGGACCCTTGGATGAACTAGAATGGGAACCAATTAAGAAGCTAGGGGTAAAGTATGTTTTTATAGCTTTAAATTATTGTTGTTTTAAAGTCTCTTACTCTTGAACTGTACATAAAAAATAAAATTATCTTTACCAATGATGGATGGGAACCTCTGGTAACATAGTGTGTAAGGCACTTGACTGCTAACCAGAAAGCTGGCAGTTCAAACCAACCAGCCACTCCGTGGAAGGAAGCTTGGGCAATCTACTTCTGAAGTGATAACGTCTCGGAAACCCAAGGAAGGGTCACTGTGAGTCAGGTCTGACTCAAGGGTGTATAACAACAACAACAACAACAACAATGATAGATGAGTGTTTCTCAAATGGAGGTAGATCTTGCCTCACAGGGGAGATCTGGCAATGTCAGGAGACAGTTTTGGTTGACACAGCTCAGCAGTTGCTACTGATCTCACAGGAAAAGGCTAAGGATGCTGCTAAGAGTCCTTTAATGTAGATGGTAGGCCCCTCAACAAAGAATTATCTGGCCCTAAATGTCAGTAGTGTCCCCAGTTGAGAAATTCTGCTCTAGACTCTTTCATCTACTGATTAATGATCACTCTACATGGTGGAGAAAAACCTGGTGGTTACTGCTTCCCTCAGCAGGCACAGGCACACTTTCAAGTGACTTGACCTCTGCTGACCCCTTTCCTGCCTTCTACCGCACACCATCCTCACTCAACCCAACAACCTTCCTTTCATTTATCACAGCTATTTCCAGGCAACAACTTCTTAAGATTTGGCCAAAATAATCCACACTCTCTGGGCCAGAGAAGCAAAGGTATATACCATTAAAAGTCAGAGGGGTCTGCAACTTCATAAGAGCAATATCATTGTTCTTGGTCTTGGAATCATAATTTGGATGAGAAATAACTTTTTCTACTCGGTATCCTTGTCCATAGAACATGAAAGACTGCCTCAAAATCCCCGCAAAGGCTGTCCAATACCGTGGGTTGGAAAGAGGTCTGGAAAAGAAAGATAAACAATACTCAGAACTGTAGGTGTGAAACACTCACTTGAGGAACTCCACAATCCATAGTTGCTGTCAGCTGCCATTAAGTTGGCCCCTAACTCATGGTGACCCCACTCAACAAAATGTCACCCAATCCTGCACCATCCCCACCATGAGGACGTTAGTAGGGCAGTTGTGGAATTCTTGCTCTCCATGCAGGAGACCCAGGTTTGATTCCCAGCTAATGCACCTCATATGCAGCCCCCACCTGGCTGTCACCGAGGTCTTACATGTTGCCCTGATGCTGAACAGGCTTCAGCAGAGCTTCCAGACTAAGACGGACTAGGAAGACAGGCTTGGTGATCTATTTCTGAAAATCAGCCAGTGAAAACCCTAAGGATCACAGTGGTCTGATTCACAGCTAGAGATGGTACAGGATCAGGCAGCATTTCCTTCTGTTTTTCATGGGGTCACCATGAGTCAGAACTGAGCTGACAGCACATAAGCACAGCAAAAATTCTTTTATGAAGATTAACAGTATAACTGATGGCTATCTTCAGCCATCTCAATTCCCGTTGCCAAAAAAAAAAAAACCCAAAAACTCACAGCCATCTAGTCGGTCTTGACTCATAAGGACTCCTCCTTGGGTTTCCAAGGCTGTATCACTATGGAGTTCTGGTAGCATAGTGCCTAAAGCACTTGACTGCTAACCAGAAGGCTGGTGGTTCAAACCCACCAGCCATTCCTCGGAAGGAAGATGGGGCAATCTACTTCCACAGCGATACTGCCTCAGAAACCCAAGGAGGGGTTGTTATGAATCAGGTCCGGCTCGACGGCACATAACAACAACAGCATCAGTATGGAAGTAGATTGCCCCATCTTCCTTCCAAGGAGTGGCTGGTGGGTTTGAATCAGCCTTCTAGTTAGCAGTCAAATGCCTTAGGCACTATGTCACCAGAGCTCCTCCCACTCCTGTCACCAAGGACTCTTAACTGGGGAGCACAGAGAAGCTTCTGGCAGGGTGTAAGTTCTCTGTTCATGTCTGAATGTTCACTCTCCAGGAACAAACATCCTAGAGAGATCAGACTTCAAGCGGGTGGTGGCTTTTATGAGTTGAGAAGACACCAGGTCAAATGGAATTCTCACTACATCGACCAACTCCACATTGCCCCCTAGTGCCCAGAACACACACACACACACACACACACACACACACACACAGGAGGCATGCAATGCTTGCACACTGAAAGGTGGACTATGACACATTTCACAGCCAGCTCATCCTCACAACCCCACTGAGAGGCAGGTGTCCTCAGCCTCCCCACTTACTGACAAGGGAACTGGACCTTCAAGAGGGTAAGTATTTGCTCAGCATCACACAGTGGCACAGCTACATTCTAAGTAAGGAGTCTGGCCCCAGCATCCTATCACTGGCTGCCTCCCTGGTGACTCGGGACAGGTACTTACTCTTCCACACAGTGAGCGGCCGTCACAATCCACTCGGGGGTGATGATGGAGCCTCCGCAAACATGGACGCCTTGGACGTGCAGGCTGACCTGCCAGGGCCAGTCCCCCAGGGCAGCATTCTCGCCCCCAACAATCCGGCTCTGGCGGTTCATCTTGATGTTGACCCCACACTCTAAAGTAGCAAACACAATGTGTGCCCATGTGTCAGTGAGCACATGCCATAGCTGCCCTGTGCCCCCCAGCACCCAGCTCTGCACCTGCATGGCCCCTTTCAAAGGATCTTTCAGGCTGGAGGGCAGATGATAAAGACAGCAATTGCCTTATCTCATTTGTTGAGATATAGGGAGAGAGAGAGAGAGTTAGAGATTGCCCTGGTCTGCTCCTCTGCCTTCCCAAGCCCTCTGTTATGGACTGAATTTTGTCTCCCAAAAATAGGAGTTGGAATCCTACAGGTAAATGTAATCCTCTAATCATTCTGATCTGGGAACAGGGTTCTTTGTTATGTTAATGAAGACACCAATATAGGGTGGGTCCTGAACCTGATCACTTCTGGGTTATAAAAAGAGTAAATTAAACACAGAGCCACACACAAATGGGGGGCAGGGCAATGGATAGATGTCCTAAGAACACACAGGGCTATGGAAACTGAAAAAGACAAGGACTAAGACACCTTCCCAGGCATCACCTCCTCTGCTAGCATCCAATGCCACTTACTAGGCACTTCTGAGATTCCGCGAAGGTACTTAACATACCCCGGGGAGGGGGACCCTGGACAATCAAGGGCCCCTAGGTGCTCTTGAGTCAGAGAGGGGCTGACAATGTTTGGAAGGCTCAGAAAGATGGTGGGTGGTGGTGAAGGGGGGTCAGAAAGAGGATGTCCTCAATACCTGCCCTGCTCTGGTATGCTGTGTGTCAGTTTCATCATGGACCATTAACACTGTGAGACCATTAACATCACCAACATAGACACATAGACAATTAATACCATTAATACTGCCCTACCCCAAGTGAGGCTCCTAGTGGGTGGGTGGGGTGATGCTGAGATTCCCAGAAGGTCGGGGATAATTCTCTAATCATTCTGATCCAAATGAGGAAGGGAGACTGGCAGAGGGCCCTCCAAGTCCCAAGGACTTCTCCTGAGAATATCTCTAGGTGTCCACATCCATCAGCCCAGCCCTCACACACTGCCCCCATCCTTGGCCAGCCACACTGAGGAAGCAGGTGAGGAACCCTCCAGAGTCCTCACTCAATGTAGCACCCACCCCCATCTGACTACTTTCCTGAGTTGCTGTCTCAACTTTCCCATAAGGTGGGCAGTATGGGCACTGGAGGCGGCAAAACCACTTTCTTGGCAATTGTGCTAGGTCCCTGTTTGGTACTTAAAGACCCAAGCTGAACCTGGCAGTGACATTATGTGGCCTAACTATGAGTCTGCTGGTTTACTACATCAGGCTGGAAGGGTAAGCTTCTGGAACAAGATCACAGAGGTGGGGAAATAGGTTGCCCTTCCTTTTCACCTCCAGTTGTGGAGTGCCCAAGGGGGGACCCCCCCCCCCAGCTCTACCAGGAGGTGGCACAAAGAATCAGGTTTGGCCAAGTTTCTCCAGATTGCCCGTCCTCAGAAGGTGCTTCTGGGACCCAAGGGTGAAGGTGTCCAAAGCACATCAAGATGCAAAAAGGAGCTTCTGGGTAGAGTGTGAATGAACAGAGGATGAAGCCTGTGGGTTCAGCCCTGCCCATTGAACCACCTCCCACACGGCTCTCCTTCTGACTGCGCGCCCAAAGGCACAGGGAAAGACGTTTCTAAAGGTAATGAATGTTTCATTTGTAGAAAAGGAAAATCAAAAAGCACTTACCTATACAGCGTAAAGAAACCACTGTTTTTGAAGAACACACATCACTGGAAAAGAAAGGGGGCATTTTAGTTACTCTAATAAATGAAGAAGCATGTGACTTTGCAGATACTTAGAAGGAACATCTTCTGTCAAAGTTCCCACTCCCTGTCTCCCCACAAATAGAAGGCCTACTATCCGAAAAGCAAATAAAATAAATGCATAGGCACAGTGATAAAGATCAGAAACTGAGTCAAACCACCAGGATCAAATCCCATCGGTGTAGCCTTAGGCAGGTTATTTAATCTGTCTGTACCTTCTCTCTCTCACCGTTGTAGAGTTGGATCCAACTCATAGTGATCCCTCCTTGGGTTTCCAAGATGATATCACTAAGGAAGTAGATTGCCCCATCTTCCTTCCAAGGAGTAGATGGTGGGTTTGAACCACCAGCCTTCTGGTTAGCAGTCAAGTGCCTTAGGCACTATGCTACCAGAGCTCCTGTCTACAGCTTAGCTTATCAGTCTATAAAATAGACCAAAACCAAACCAAATCCACTGCCAGCAGGTTTGATTTTGACTCATAGTGACTCCCAGTGGGTTTCAATTGCTATAACTCTTTACAGAAATAGATCGCTCCATTTTCCTTCCAAGGAGAAGCTGGTGGGTTTGAACAGCCAACCTTCTGGTTAGCAGCCACATGCCTGAGGAGCTCACCACCAGAACCCCTTTAATACCAATTCACAGAGTGGTTGTAAGAATAAGTTGTCTCTTTTGTTAGTGATTACTTTTATTCTTGGAATTTAAGATCATCCTCTAATTTTTTAAGGAAGCCATTTGGAGACTTCTGGGTTCCTAAGACTGCTTACATTTATTTATAGTATTCAAAACAGTACAACAACCTGGAAGGACCTTGGAAACATTCTGCTCAGTGAAATAAGTCAGTCACAAAACAACAAATATTGTTTGATCCCACTTATATAAACTATCTAAAAGAGGCAATTGTCTGTAGTGACCAAAGTTTATTAGTGGTTCCCTGGGATGGTTGGGAAGGGGGTCCTGGGACTCATTGCTTAGGGATCACCGAGTTTCTGTTAATAAAAAACCATGAAAACCAAACTCGCTGTCACCAAGTCTGATCCGACTCATAGTGACCCCTTCCTTGGGTTTCCGAGGCAGTATCTCTACCGAAGTAGATTGCCCAACCTTCCTTCCGAGGAGTCGCTGGTGGGTGTGAACCGCCAGCCTTCTGGTTAGCAGTCAAATGCTTTAGGCACTATGCCACCAGAGCTCCCAGAGTTTCTGTTAATAGTGGTGGATTAATTTGGAAATGGATAGTGGTGATGGTAATACCACATGATGAACATAATAACATCACTGAATTGTACATGTAAAATAAGTTGAAATGGCAAATGTTTTGTCATATATATATATATTTTAATTAGGATTTGGGTGAAGATTTACAGAGTAAATTCACTTTTCATACAGCAGTTCACATATACTTTGTCTCATGTCATTGACCAAAATTTACAATGCAGCAGCTCCCCTCCCACTTCCTCCCCATAATTACCTCCTCCCAGTGTCCATCCCTTCATACTCTTCTGCACCCTGAGCTATCTCCCTGTGCATAAGCAGCCCTTCCTTCTCCCATGATTGTTCTCTCCAGGGCGTGTATCTACTTGAGGTAAATGTTTAACTCACTTGCCTGTACATTGTTTGGCTGGAAACCACAGTTGTGGGTTCAATTCCAGACCTGAAGGGCAGCTAGGGGCCATAGTCTCAGTGGTTACACCAGGCTCCATTAGACCAGCAAACCTGGTCCCCCCCTTTTTTTTTTTTTTGCCTCCAAATGATTTTGAGTTTTGTACCACATTGTTCTCCCTCTTTATGCAGGATCTCCTACATCCCTTCCAAGTGGATGGCAGTGGTAGCTGGGCACCATCTAGTTCTTCTGGTCTCATAGTTGTATAGGTTGCAGATCGGATGGTGTACCAGTTGCTAGGACTGATTGTTTCCATTAATTTTGGTTTTCTTCTTTCTTCTTGACGAGGAAAGACCCGTTGTTGCATCTAGATGGCAGCTTCCTAGCTTTTAAGGTCCCAGTAGCTACTCGCCAAAGTAGGAGGTGGAACAATGTTTTGTATAGTATGTTATGCCAATTGAGTTTGATGTCCCCTGCGACTATGGTCCCAAGCCCGCAGGATCAACTACTCGGTCCCTCTGGGTAGCTGGCTGTGACCAAGTAATGACCATAACCTTGCCCCTTGTCAGCTCTACTATACACCTGGGAATTCTGATCATTCACATGAACTTATAGGCCCATTGTCTGCCAACCCTGTATATGATCTTGGATACACTCTCCATTTAGACATACCTAATTGTTTAGCTTGTTCACCCATCTATCCGTCCCTATACCCATGTTTGCTTTCATTGACAACTCAGTATTGTATATGCAAAGGGGTTCATCATATATATTTTTAACATAATTTTAAAAACAACAAAAAATACAACCAATAATTTTCCCAGGTGCACAAGAAAATGAAAGTTAGGGATGAAAAGGAAATAATTAATAAATTCTCCTGTACTGTGCATATTACCCTAATATGCTGAGAAAGACAGCCAGGCCTTGACACTGAACACAGCCAAGTTCACAGAACACCAATGTCAGACTAGGTCACTCTGTGACCAAATGGATCAAGACAAAAACAAGCCCACTCTGTGATCATGTCTGAATACAGACAACACGCGAGCGCATGGTCCAAACCACAGAAGTGACCACACGGCCCCCTCTGCTGGCCACAAGTGTTAACTACAGCTCCTTACCAATCCCAGCTTTACCTTCTTCTGGATCTCCTACCTTCTAAATAAAAATGAAGTCCTCCAGTCACAGTATCACCTACTTCCTGACAGCATCCAATCCATAGCAAGTCCTATTTCCTTTAGGTTCCCCCAAATCACTTACCACAAGCCCCAATCCTATAACGAGTCCTAAAACTCAAGCCAAACGTTGCTATCGAGTCAATTCTGACTCATAAGGAGTCCTAACACCTTCTTATAAAGATGTCCCTATGGTGTGCAGCACCCTCACTGCCACAAGTCCATAAACCTACCAGTGTTCAACTACAGGGGTGTCCCTGCTGGTCCATGGCTGCAGGGCAGTGACAAAGCCAAGGAAAAAAAAAAGTTCCTTAATAGAGAGGTTTTCTAAGAATCGTGAGGCCAACTCTCCTCTACCTAGAAATTCACTTGAGTAGCTAACCCCCAGCAACTAGGTTGGCAACAATGATTTCAGACAAGGCTGGCTAGGAGTCAAGCCCAGAGGTTCAAGTATCAAAGGGCAATTTCTGAAAGAAAAGAGGGAAAAAAAGTTTTCCCACACCATCGCCACGGATACAGACTCTGGCACACTACACAATGATCATTTCTTCTTCCCTCTACACTGTCAGCCCCTTGTGAGTTCCCAAGCTCTGTGCCAGAGGACAGCAGGCCTTTTCACCCCCTCCCCCATCAGCTCTATTTTTCATGGCTCTGACATTTCATGTGTAACCACGGAAGACAAAGCAACATTCAATATTTACAAATAGTGCAGGCAGCTGTGTTTTGCTTCTCAGGTGGGCAAACCGCAGCCCTGTGGTTTTGATGGGTGCACCTGGCTGTGTCTGCTCCTCCCTCTTGAGCTTGCCCTGTGACATTCCAAAGCCTGGGTGGACCCAGCCCCCCAGACACCACTGGGAATCTCTTTTGCTTCCACCTCCCACTCACAGAAAGGAGGGACCTGTGGTTAGTTCATCCTTCCCCAAATCCAGCACCTGGCACCTGCTGGCAGCATGGGGGATAGCCAGCCACCTGGGGATGAGCCACCCAAATCTAGGAGTGAGTAAGGCTTTTGTGAAGGGCAGTGAAATCTTTTGTGCATGATATTGTCATGGTGGACACATGACATTATGCATTTGTCAAAATCCAGAGAACTGTACAACACAGAGGAGTGAAACTTGATGCAAACTATGGACTTTAGTTACTAATAATGTATCAATATGGATTCTTCAATTGTAATAAATGTACCCAGGAATACAAGATGTTAATAACAGGACAAACTGTGTGCAGTGGGGAAAGGGGATAAATGGGAACCCTCTGTATTTCTGTGTAACATTTCTATAAATCTAAAACTGCTCTAGAAAATGAAGTGTATTAAAAAGATTCAGGTAACAATAATTCTAAGAAGAATACCAATATTTGAAACAGATGCAAAACAAAATTCGTAGCTTGAAACCACTCCTTCCTCCACCCCACCCCCCAGGAATTAAGCCATCAAGCATAGGACCTACTATTTGTGTTCATTCCCATGCCCCTGGTCACTCAGTGGTCAGCCCAGGGTAGAGAGTCTGCCCCAAAGTGTGGCAGACGCAGAGGCTAGGATCTGCCAGTGCCTACCCATCACTTGGGGCCTGAGCCAGCCTTCAGGGAGACCACAGCCCACTCACTGTGGCCACCAGGTCTCTCATGTTACAGTGTTTCTGATGTGACCACATGAGACACACCTTCAAGGCTGAGGGACAGCATCTACAGAATTTCCCCATAACTGGGAGAGTACCAGGAATGTTGGTGAACTGAACTGGCCTCTCTCACCCAGGCCACGGAATGTGGCTCAGCTGGTGGGTACCATTACCTGATGTGATTGACTGTTCACCGATTGGGGCTGGGGGACTAACTCTCCTAGGGAGTTGGGATTGAGGGGGTCCCTGGGAAGCAGGACTCAGTGTTGAAACAAAGCAAGTCCAGGGCATAATGGTGTGCACCGGTCATCCTATTTGGGACACCAAGCAACTCTCTGGGATTCCTAGTGCCACATCTGATAGAGTAGGTATACCTACAAATGTTTGGTGAAAAATACATAAAGTTGATTCTCAATTTTGCAGTGTTATCCAGTATCATTGAGGGTAGAATGCAGAGGCTGCAGACTAAATGGAAAATAAACCTTGGCCACTTCCTCAGAATACATGCAAGGCTGCTCAGAGCAAGCAGTCCTGATTAAAGGCCAACCTCTTCCCAAGGAGAAAATCATCCAAACCCAGAATTAGAGAAATCTTGCCCAGAATAATGATCTCTGGGGCATTAGCTGGTCATTCTGACTATTCACCTTTTCTAAGAATGAAATAATCAATACCTGTGGAACAGTTTTTTATACAAATCAATATTCCCAGCACTGGTGTTCAGTTTCATAAAGCTGATAGCACCGCTGTTGTCTATCACGCTTTGGCTGGAGTAAAAACTATTCCTGAAAAACAAGCATCCAAAACAGAATATGTTATTCAAAATAACAGTTCAGTCTGAAGCCATCACAAATTCTATACTACATTCCTTTTTGTATAATGTTCAGAAGAAAACCTTAATATTCTGGAAAACAAAAGCACAAGTTCTAATCATATATGTTATGTGTACATGCACTTATTATACCTATATGATATTTGGTGGTATAGTGGTTTACACATTCAGCTGACAACCAAAACATTGGTGGTGTGAACCCACCAACTGCTCCATGGAAGAAAGATGGAGCAGTCTTGGAAACCCAGTGGGATCATTGTGAGTGGAAATGTACTTAATGGCAGTGAGTTGGTTTTTTGGTTTGATATGGTACACATATGATATGCATATATAATACATAGTAAGCACCAAACCAAACGCAAACCACTGCCATGGACTCAATTCTGACTCGTAGTGATCCTATCGGACAGAGCAGAATGGCCCATAGAGTTTCCAAGCCTGTAAATCTTTATGGAAGCAGACTGCTTTGTGTTTCTCCTGTGGAGAGGCTGGTGGGTTTGAACTGCTGAACTTTTGGTTAGCAGCCAAATGCATTAACGACTATGCCACCAGGGCTTCTTAAAATAATGTCATAAACCAAAAAAAAAAAAACCCACCTCACTGCCACTGAGTCAGTTCCAACTCATAGAGACCCCTCCTTGGGTTTCTGAGGCTGTATCTCTACAGAAATAGATTGCTCAATCTTCCTTCCAAGGAGTGGCTGGTGAATTTGAACCATCAGCCTTCTGATTAGCAGTCAGATGCCTTAGGCACTATGCCACCAGAGCTCCCAATAATGACATATATATGTATATATTGTATATTTATATATGTATACTACACATATAATACACTGTACACCACATGACCCAGGAGATGGTGGCTGGGTGGAAACATGGGGGAAGCCAGCACTTGTGAATGTGCAGGACACAGGTCCAGCAAACTAGGTTCCACCTGCTGGTTGCAGTTCTGTTTGGGAAGAGGAACTCCCTTGGTATTTGCAAGCACTTCCACAGAAGAACAGAGAGAAGTGGATTCTTCTTATGCACCTACTACTGTCTGTCATTGTCACTATGAGGTCACTGCCCATTCTTGACAACAAGGTGCCACACTCACTTGTAGCCCATGTCTCTGCAGGCTGCCCTCCCATAGCTCTCACTCCAGTTGTCCCAGCACACAGGGTGCCAGGACTTCTTCTGGGCCGAGTACACCTGCAGGATGAAGTTTGGTCCATAAAGGCGCACTGTGGGTGAGGGAGAGTTTTTGTGAGTACGTGAAGGACAGATAACATGATACAACACCATATCACACCACACAACATGACACTACAATATACAACATACCACACACAATACCACAACACACCCGACATAAACCATTGGTCCTGACGCTAATGGCTGTGGGGCCCAACCTTCCCCTGAAGACACAAAGCACCAGGGCTAGGTTGCTCTTCTTAATAGACTGACCACAACTATCAGGACACTATGAGTCTGTTCTTTCTCTGTTAAAAAGTCCTTTACCCAAAAAAGTGAAAACTAGAATTCAGACAAAAACTTGTACACTGGTGTTCACAGCAGCACTATTCACAAGAGCCAAAAGTAGGAACAACCCAAGTGTCCATTGGCTGATGAACAGATAAACAAAATGTAGTATGTCATTGAATGGAATATTATTCAGCCATCAAAAGGAATGAAGTTTGGATACATGCTATGCCAGGGATGACCCTTGAGGATATTATGCTGAGTGATAGAAGCAAGTCACAAAAGGACTACAAGGTATACGATTCTATTTATATAAAATGTCCAGAAAAAGCAAATCTATAGACAGAAAGTAATTTAGCACATGCTTAAGGTTCATTGTGTGTGTATGTGAGTGTGAAGAGGTATGGTAGTAATCACTAAAGGATGCAGAGTGGCCTTTTAGGGTAATAAAGATGTTCTCAGATGACTGGTGATATTTGTACAACTTTGTGAATATACTAAATGCTGAACTGTACACTTTCAATGGGTGGATTAGATAGTATCCTGACAAAGAAGTCCTCTTTGAACAATCACTTTGATCAACAGGGTATATCCTCTTAATTAAATCCTGGACTCTGAGCAAACACCAGGTGACCTGGCAGAATCTCCTTGTAAAGATTCTGCCTCTAAATTAGCCAATGTTTTGTCAAAATTACCTCAGCTCTTTGCTTCAAGAAATAAAACATTATAAATGTAGCTCAATGAGTGGCTGGACCTGTGGGCTCAAAACCATGGTTGCAGGGGACAGCAGGCTCAACTGGCATAACATACTACACAAAACCATTGTCCCACCTCCTACTTTGGTGAGACTAGGGTCTTAAAGCTTGCAAGTGGTCATGTAGATGCAACAATGGTTCTCTCCTCATCCAGAGCAAAGAAGAATGAAGAAAACAAAGATCTTGGAAATAGTTATTTCAAGGGACTGGTACACCATGTGATCCTCAGACTATATAACTATGAGACCAGAAGAACTAGATGGTGCCCAGCTACCACTGTCAACCACTCTGAAAGGGTTCAGTGCAGGAAATCCTGGAGTGAGAGAACAACGTGGAACAAAACTCATAAATTCATTGAAAAAAAAAAAAAAAAAGACCAGGTTTATTGGTCTGATAGTGCCAGGTGAGATCCTGAGACTATGGCCCCTAGTCACCCTTCAGGTCTGGAATTGAACTCACTCCAAACAATAGACAGGCATATAGGGTGAACATTTACACCCTAAATGATAGATACACTCCTTAGAATGATCAACCATGGTAGAACAGAAGGGCAGTATTTGCACAGGGAGATAGCTCAGGGGCAGGAATGCATAGGAAAGGATACAGGGAAGAGGTAACTGTAGGGAGGGAGTGGAAAAAGAACTGTTACACTGTGGGGAATTGCAGTCAATGTCATGAAATAAAATGTATATGACCTGCTGTGGGAGCTCTGGTGACATAGTGCCTAAGGCATTTGACTGCTAACCAAAAGGCTGGCAGTTCAAACCCACTAGCCGCTCCTCGGAAGGAAGGTTGGGCAATCTACTTCCGTAGTGATACCGCCTCAGAAACCCAAGGAGGGGTTGCTATTGAGTAGAATCTGACTCCACAGCAATGGTTGCATTTGCTTTAAGAACTGCTGTACGGAAAATGAATTTGCTCTGTAAACTTTCACCCAAATCACAATAAAAAATTAAAATAAATAAATAAGTGTAGCTCAAGGCCCTCCTCTATTCCACCCCCTTCTCTCCCACCTTACAGGTAACCACTCCTCAGAATTCTCAAAACTTTTCGTTGCATAGGAGAATACAACCAGGGTGGTGTATTCACAGAACAGAATTCTGTAACTTTAGGATTAACTGTAGTCTTATGTATTAACATGAACAATTTTGAAAAGAACATTGCATAGAAGAGCAAGTTGCTAAATTATATGTTTCCTATATAATTTATATAAAATGTGAGAGTGTGCAAAATGGCGTTTTTGATTATATGTGTGCTTAAAGTAGAAAAGGAAATCCCACCTCTTCTGAGGTTTCACTTCTAACCTCCTGTTGGTGGCCCCTGTTATTGAATAAATGATATCTCCCCAAAATATGGATTAAAATCCTAATCCCTGTACCTGTAAATATTAGGAGCCCTGGTGGTGCAGTATTTTAAACTCTTAGCTGCTAATCAAAAGATTGGTGGTTCAAACCTATTAGCTGCTCTGTGGAGAGAGATATGGCAGTCTGCGTCCTTAAAGATTTGCCACCTTGGAAATCCTATGGAGCAGTAATACTCTGTCCTGTAGGGTTACTATGAGTCAAAATCAACAAAACTACAGTGGGGTGGTGGTCTTTTTTTTTTTTTAATCTATAAATATGATTGCTTGGAAATAGGGACTTTCTTTTATGTTTATGAGGCCATAGTAGTGTAGGGTGGGTCCCAAACCTAATCTCTGAAAAGGGCAGAATAGACACAGAGATACACACAGTGGAAAACAGATGACCAAGACAGATGCATCTACAAGCATCACCAGCAGCTACTAGAAGCTAAAATAGACAAGGAAGGACTTCCCCCATGTCACTCTTTATATTTGGACTTCTGGCCTCCTAAACTGTGAGAAAATAAGTTTTGTTTTTTTAAAGTTACCCACGTAGGGTGGGGGTGGAGCCCAGTCACTAGTGCTCGGACAGCTCCCTTGTT